CGCTAGCGGCACCCTCTGCGGCGAGGAGAATCTCCTCCTGGAGAGTAGAAGCTGACTTGGAGTCCCTTTCTGAGGGATATGAGGGACCATAAATATATTGTTATGAAAGTCGGCACTTCTCTAATTGGGCCCACTATGGGGAAAACGGCACTTAGAGCCTTCCCCAGATGGACGGTCGGAGGAGCAGACTCGGACTTGATGGAAGCTGCGTCAGTTTTTGCGGCATGGAGTGTCACCTTTGAGGATGCCGCTTCTGGGGCCGAGAGGATGGACCAGGCACTCTGTGATATCTCGGATGCATCAATGGCAAGGAGAGGACTTACGAGAAGGCCATCAACCTATTGGTGGAATGAGGAGATTGCAGAACTCCGCCGCAACTGCAACGTGTGCAGGAGAAGACTGACACGAGCGCGTGCGAGGAGGGGGGCACCCCCCGCTAATACCCAGGTATGCTGGGACGAGTTGCGGGAGGCTAGACGCAGGCTTAGGAAAGCGATTAACCGATCCAAAGCCAAGTTATGGGGGGAACTTGTAAATAATCTCGATAGGGATCCTTGGGGTATGCCCTATCGCCTAGTATTAAGAAAATTACACGCGGGTGGCGCATCGGTGGTGGAGGTGCTCCCTCCTGAGATAGTGGGGGAGATTGTGGCAACTTTGTTTCCTGCGGATAACACCCCGCAGGCTATTGGAACCCCGGTCGAATGGCGGGAAGACATGGAAGTTACTCCAGTTGAAATGCTGGAGGCTGGAACCAGAGTTAAACTGGGTAAGGCTCCAGGTCCTGACGGAATCACAGGCCATGTGATAAAGAAAACGATGGAAAACCTTGCTCCGTTGTGGGCAAGATGCTTTACGGAATGTCTCAGGAGCGGGCACTTTCCACGACAGTGGAAATTTGCGAAACTTGTGTGGGTCAAAAACCCGGGCAAGCCGGATCTCTCCCCGTCCTCGTATAGGCCTCTGTGTCTGTTGAGCGAGGCGGGGAAATTATTCGAAAGGGTGATCGTACGAAGACTGCAAACCTTCTTGGACGAAACGGAAGGGATAGCGAATGGGCAGTACGGCTTTCGATGCCACCGCTCCACGATAGATGCAGTGTGGTACCTTAGGGAACGGGTCGGGCAGGGCTTACGGGATGGGGATGTCGCTGTCGCCGTATCCCTGGACATTGCGAATGCGTTCAACTCCCTCCCGTGGCCTATTATCAGGAGCGCTCTAGAGGAGAAGGGTGTCCCGGGGTACCTCCGGAATATCCTCTATGATTACCTCTCGGACCGAGGCCTGTCCTACGTGGACAAGAGGGAGATTGGTGCATGAACCAATGACGTGCGGGGTTCCACAGGGTTCGGTCTTAGGACCGACCCTATGGAATATAGGCTATGATTCTGTCCTGGGAGCAGGCCTGCCGATAGGATGCTCAATACTTTGTTACGCGGATGACACGCTCCTGATCGCTGAGGCTGCGACTTTCGACGAGGCGCGCGCTAGAGCTGAAATAAGGGCTATCTATGTGGTGAGGTTAATAGAGCGGTTGGGACTGAAAGTCTCGGTCCCAAAGACTGAAGCGGTCGCTTTTCAGCCAAAGACTGAACCGCCGAAGGGATA